TTTGACGTTGGTAACACCTTATATATGTATTGTATTTTTTAACAAGTAATTACTGCTTGTTAGTAGACTAGTTATAAGTAAGTAAAAAAGTTTCTTTTAATTGTTTTTGTAAACTAATCTTTTTGACTCGTATGACGTGATTTGTATGTGTAAAAATTGTTGTTTTTTTGCTAGACATAGGTCATATAAATAAAAAAAAAAATACATCAGATATCAATAATACATATCAAAAAAACGTTGTTTCAACTATTTCAGTCACTTTTTCTTTGTGCCAATATAAACTGTATTAAGTAATGCTTTTTCGGTACAATTTTTGATGTAAACAAACACTTTCAAATCTTAGCATTCCAATACAGTCTTTGCCAAAAACAGCGTACTGCATTGAACATTTGCTTAAAGTAGCCTAAAAGTTTTGATAGTAGCGAATTTTCATATTTGATAATTTTTTTTCTCTAAAAACAGTTATTTTAAAGAAAAACAATTATGTTTTAGCCTGAAAAGTGAAATTTTCAAATTTACCGATATTTGGCCTCGTGCTGCTCACAGATCTGACAACAAATTCCTTTTCAAAAACAAATCTGATTGATTACAGATTGATTATTTCCTTTAACATTCTGTATCGACAACAGAACTGTTACCGAATGTCAACACTTCTCTGTAACTGGAAAAATAAATGCTAAAATTTACAATTATAATGTGTTTGATAAAAGTTCAAAAAATGCAGGATCAGAACAGCATTATTTTCATCTAGTTTTTTTTTTTTTTTTTGCTTTTATGCACAGTGTTCAGTAAAGTAATGTTTTTTCAAGTGAAAAAAAAGTTCTTAGCTAAAAGAAATCTTCAAATGACTTCTATCGCTTTCTCTAACAGTTTGTTCTTTTTTTTTTTTGCAGTTTTATAATAGAAAAGAACTAAAATTTATAGCAAAAAGTTAAGATCACTCTATTCATATTTTCACTAAACTTTATAGATTCTTTTATTGTTTTTTTTTTTTTTTTTGCTACCTTCTACTTATTTTTTATAAGATCATATAGCACAGTGTGAGAATCGCTTATTCAATGCCTGAGTTCAACTAAAAAATGTTCATATTTCTCAAACTGAATAGTGTTGTTGCAGCGTAAAAGTAACTATAAAGTTCAAAGTTTAAAACTCTCTGTTTATTGCAGAAAAGAAATTTTCATTTCCAGAGCATATTTTTTAGGCAAACGTATTGTTCTATAATTAGCCTTGCAAATTAGCAACACTGAGAACAGTAGGTGTACTGGAAACTATAAAAATTTTTTTTAATAATATTTTTGACATTTTTTTTTTTCTTGGTAGATGTTTATTTCTACTGTACTCGTGTTAGCCAAAATAATACAGAAAAATTCAAAAAATACGACGACTGCCATTAAAGTTATTGCATACTAAACCGAGGTGATTTTCAAGATGTTAGACCGGTAATTTTTATAATTTTATTCTTTTCACTAAACGACTGGAAAAAAAAAATAAAAAAAAAAAAATAAAGACAGATTCTTTTTTTCTTCCACTAAAATAAACTCATCTATTTTTGTCATTTTTATTATTGACAATTCAATTGAAATTGTATAATCGAATAAATCATACAATTCCCAAGACTACAATATTTTGCTTTTTTATCATCTTCGTTAGTTGTTTTCTTCCTTCTTTTTCGAATTTTTTTCTCATTCACAGCAAATTTTAACTTTTTACATGCCTTTTTAGTTAGTTAGTCCTTTTGTTTTTTTTCCTTTCAATTTTTTTTTCTGAAAAATTGTTGATTACTTTGATGGCTACAAAATACAAATTGCTTTTTAGCAGAACAAATTAATGCGTCTAGTAAATATCACGACAAAGCAATTTTAACCAAGAAAAAAAAAAAGATAAACAAGAAACGAAAAAACAAAAGCGACGGTTGATGGAGAAAGCAAAAAAAAAAAAAAAAAAAAAAAAAAAA